AGACTGGCTCAGAATCTCTGACAGGGAGGCATGGAAATAAAGACACGTAGATAAGAGCCCTAGCGATGAGGACTAAGACACCAAATATTTCGTCAGAAAAGTGATTCCTCTAGTCTTAAGTTCTAGGACAGTGGTTCTCAACCTTCTTAAGGACGTGATCCTTTAATACAGCCCCTCATGTTGTGGTGACCTCCTGACTGCAACATTATTTTGTTGCTACTTCATAACTGTAATTTTGTCACAATTATGAATCTTAATGTAAATATCTGTGTTTTCAGGTGGTCTTAGGAAACCCCTGAGAAAAAGTTGTTTGACTCCCGACGGGGTGGCGACCCACAGGTTGAGAACCACTGTTCTAAGTGACTTTTATAATAAAGTCTTTTATAGTGCATGTTTAGTAACTCAGTAGATAATATCCTCAGCAAAATTTTATTAACAACCTGAATGAGACATTTCTGCAAGCAAAAATGGTCTCCTTCACAATGAGGTTTATAATTTCCGAGAAGCCTAGGTTAGTGAATTCAGATATTTAAGCTCCTTGGACTGTATTAGTATAAAGACAAAATTGAGGCTAGAAGAGGGATATTACATTCAAAGTCTCTTTTTACTCTATTTCTTCTAAATGTTTTCATTCTAGCTTTACCAAAATGCATGTGAACATCAGCAGCCAGGAGACAAAGGTCTCTGCAGGCCTTGGAAACAAAAGAGAGAAACAGTGCTGCACAGTCAACAGGAGCCAACCCGGTGCTATTCAAAAGTGTTGCTTTTCATCAGTTGCTGTTACAGCTATTATCGAATTTAAGGCCACCGCCCTTCAGAGAAACTGATTCATTTACTGGAACAACCAACTCTTGTTCTTAAGAGCAGTTGCTGAAGCAACTTAAGGGTCACAGTCACACAGTGGAATCAATAACAATTTAACAAGCATTATTTTCCAAGGTTTAATTTAATGGCTGCTTAACTCAACGAGTTTTTACAGTCCTCTGAGAATACCGACTGTAAACTGGATCAAAATTATTAGATTTATTTTTCATTAAGCATTCGATTTCTTTTTCTAATGCTTAAGATGCCATGGTTTGAGATTGGTGATAAGGACTTGGGGTGGTGAAGAATGTGTAGAAAATAATCTTTATGCAGTGATTCTAACTCATACGTTAGAAACACTATGCCAAGCATGACACATTTTCTTTTCTGCTATGGCATTCAAAACCCAATGAATCTGGAAAATTCTAATACAATAAAAATACATATATATGAATATGTATGTATATATATACATATATATTATGTATATACATATATATGTATATACATATATATTATGTACATATATATATATATGTAATAATGTTCGTTGAATGTGTCCAAGGAAGCCAATTAAATGTATTTCATTCTTCTAAAAATCTGGGTTTACACCCAAAGGTTGGCACTGCATGGCAGTGATTGCATAGACTCATAGTTGGTGAAACTACTGACAAACAAACAACTATGGAGTGCTTGGACCTAAATGGGACATCAATGTCACCCTCTCCAAGGTTTAAAGAATGTTACAAAAGAGGTGGCTGAAACAATGTAAGGGAAAGAGGTCTTCTGGATATGACTGTTGAACTTAAAGCTTCCATGGGTACCAGCAAGAGGCCTACATAATAGATGCATCTGCATTCCATCATGGGCAAGGTAGGGGCTCATTCAGCCCTGCCCTTCATTGAGGACCTATAGTCACATAATGCTTGCTGGGAAAGGGGCAGTCACATTCATCGATGGTGTAGCCCTTGCTTGCATATATAATTGTTGAGCCTTCCATAGTCGTGCAGGTAACTCTTATTAAATTCAGTGGACAACACACTGACATGAACATTAAACAGGGACAGAGTGTATATAGACGGTGGCAGAAAAGCAACATGTGTGTCATCTATGTTGTGATAATTTATGTATATTGTGATAAAGAACAAAGCAGAAATCTTACTTTTAATTTCAAAAAAAAAAAACAACAGAAAACACACAGTCCGGCAGGTTTGGAGTCTCTCTGCTTTTGAGGCCTTCTGGTTTCAGCGACCCTGGGTAGGAGACCTAAGCTTATTGATTGATACAGAATCTCCTACAAAATAACCCTGCACTTTACAGTTACCTTTGACAAACGTATTTAAAATGTCTTGATTTCCTTATTGACTTACGATATCTTAGGGAACAAGATGCACATGAAATGTACTGATTCTGAAAATGACTGAGTTTCTTCACACACTCCTACATAAACTATGAGGACAGAAGAAAATATTTTGTTTTAGTGTTTAAAATGTTAAAATCCAGGTGTGGTTATTTTAAAACTAAAAGAGAATATTTGGTTTAGCTTTAATTATTCTAAACTAGCCATGATTTCTCCTCTTCTTTCTTTCCTTTTTATCTTTGTCATACAGAGGTAACTATTAAAAAGGATCGAAATCCTATTCATAATCCCATAGTGAGGAAACTATGCATATAAAAAAAAACATGAAAAGAACATTCGAGCATGCCTATTGAAGAGTAAGTTTCTTATTTCCAAGAAGGCATTCCACACGAGGGAAGATGTAGTCACGAAGAGGACAGAAATTGCTTGTTACCCTATTGATTTTCATCTACATCTTCCATGGAGTAACAGAGGACTCTCTCATTTGCATTTGAGCACATCATGTCAGAGAATGGGTCACCGCAATGGAGCATAATGACCAAGAAATGCTCTTTCCTCAATAACAACACACCAGAACCATCTCCTATTTCTCGCTGTTACCTTTTCAGTGCAATTTATACGATATGCACTGAAAGAATGGACAAATGAGCAGATGGAAAATATTAAGGCTTAAATAGTCTTTGTGGCGTGTTTAAGATTAGTTTGTAAAACATACTGACTTTGTATCAATCTACTTTTTTCGTTCATAAACAGAAGAAATTTCTAGAGAATTGAAATCTATGCTAAAGTGAGTAAGTACAATTAATAAAATGACAATGATTTTTTTAAATAATGTAGTGTCTGAGAAAGATTTTTTGAAAATATAATTGTGATGAATTCATCCTCTCAAAAATGATTAATATAAAACTACATACCATGAAAATAATAAGATGAATTTTACTAAAGGATGGAATCTCTCTTATTGAATGGTAAGTACTATCAAATTCTAGCAAAATACTATTGATATATGATACTATCTTCATTTTTATTAAAAGAAGAAAATATGTGCCGTATAACCTAAGATACACTTTGTCGCGGAGGGGAATTTTGTGTGTCAGCCTAGCCTGCGGGGGCTAGGCCATTTCTCCAGCGCAGCCACTGGAACTTTACACCACCCATCTGTGGCCTTGAATATGATGTCAAAACCAGGGCTGTGGTGAGGTGAGATCAGTGTTGTCCCATATCTGCCTCCTAGTGTGTGGATCATAATTAGGCAATCAATAACAGGGAAATGGGTTCGTGTTCTTAAAGCAAGTCATTTGTTCTCTCTTGCTACTTGTATTATCTAATCCTAGCTGCTCAGTTCTCCAACTTTCCTTATTAAATTCAACATAAATATCATAAGAACTGCATACGTATTTGAAAGGCACTGCAATTGCTAAATGAAAACAGCACAGGAAATCTTTCTTCAGGTGACAAATTCATACATAATATATAATAATGCTTCCTTATTTCAAGTCCTTTGAAGGCATACTTTGTGCCAGAAATGACTTTCAGGGGTTTCTAAGGAAACATTGTTTGTGCTAGCAGATGGGAACTCTCCCAGAGCTAGGAAATGGGGTGATTGTATTTTGCAGAGGGCAAGCTGAGCACAGGTAGGAGATAGCTGAAGGTGGTGAATGCAGAACCCCTACACAGGTCCTCAGCATGCACTCTACAGTACAGGAAGACCATCTCCGCTTAGGAGATGATGAAAACTGAGCATAGAGCGATATGAAAATTGATAAAAGATGGAGTTTCTTACACTGTCGTTCATTTCTTAGTAGAATTTTACCACTATGAAATTCAAAGTATAAAGCCATATGGTGAAACCTCTCTCATCTTTAGTAACTTCTGCCCATCACACAGAAACAGCCAGGTCAGATCACAAGCACTAGTTATACAGACTTTTATTTAGCCTTCTTTCATGTATGAGGGGGAAACATGTTTAGAAAGTGTTTAAAATCCTTCTACAGCAGGAGTTGTATCACAGTGGTAGAACATTTTTTTGACTACTCGTGTGTCCTAGGTAGAACCATAGCCTGGCACTTCAATAACTTCAGAAATCAAGCAAGCAGCTAGCATTTGTGTAAGCACATACGTAGTTTGAAATATGAAAAACATCAAGCATACATTGTCAATGTTTGTTGGACTTATGTAGATAAAAGAATAGTAGAAATTCACAACACTTTGATTTCCAGCTTCTACCCCAAAGTAATCAATGCTAGGTAAACTCATCTTCTACAAAGCACAAAAGAATAGGAAAAAAAGAATGGCCTCATTCATGACATGAGGCTAATATTCATAGGGGAACGGGGGCTTAGTTTTCACCTAAGGACTTTTATTCCCATCTTAGTTTTCAAGGCTTTCTATTTGTTAGACAGCAGATGAGCCCATTTCCTTACATTCAAAAGAGCCATTCTCACATGCCAAAAGCAACAATTGTACCTTCGAGACTCATAAACCTCACATGCACTTGAATAGTGACAGAAAGGAAACAAACACAGATGACGTGCAATGATTGGCTTCTCCCTGATTTTCTCTCATATTGTCCTTTGTGTCTACGAAAAGGTTATCACATGGTTCTGTGAGCACTGGTCTCCCAAGAAGAGTCCTTATCATATATAAACAAAGGGAATAAATGCTTGGGGAAGATGAAAAAGAAAGGGGGAATAAACACGAGCAAATGAAAAAACCCCTTTGACCTGACATTATGGAAAAAATAAACATAAAGACGCTAAGATGGAAACAAAATAGTGCCATGGTTTACATGTGGGGTTTGGATGGAATCTAGGGCTGTATTCAATTTATAACTCACCATCTCAAAACCACTTCTTTTCATCCGCCTGCAGGACTTGAGGTAAGTACGGATACGTTTTCTGGCACGCTCTTGATACTCAGGGAATTGTCGCCTGCATGAGTCAATGATAGCTTGGATCTTTTCTTTGGGCTGCTTAGAGATTGGGACCATTCGGTCCAAGTTTTCATCTACAAACAGCCTGACAAACATCTGTTGGCAAGAGGGAGACAGAGGAGAAGGGTTTGGAGGACTGCTCTCTTCTCTTCCTAGCTTCCTGTCTTGATTACCAAGAGGAAAAAATAATTCTGTTTCTGGTTTATGCACTGGAGAATTTTGCAAATGGAAAGCCAGAAAATTTAAGCAAACACTCTTTGAAGATTCTCTAAATGGTTGAATTAAGTAAAAATATATATATTTAGAGAGAGAGAGAGAGAAAGAAAATGAGAAAGGGAGAAGGAGAGGAAGAGAAAGAGGAAAGCAGACAGACAAACAGACAGAAAAGAATGAAAAAAAATCAGAAAATAACAGTAGAATCAGAACAGCTGAGCACTCATTACATTTGCTTTTAATGGTAAATGGGACTGAGACATTGCCACACTGCACAGTGGACTCCTCTCTGAGAACAAACAGTTGACTCTCTTGTCATGCACAATTAGGAAAGCAGAGGAAATAACTGATGACAAACAGGCATCACATCAGAGGACTAAGCTGAGCCTCCTTCAACCTAGGTGGAAATGCATACTCACACAACACAACTCCAGTCCTCAGCACCCACTTGGCTTTAACATTCTAAACAAAACAGCAATTCTGGTGTCTGCTTGGCAAAGAGTGTTTCATGTACTTTTAAAATCCTTCTGAAAATTAAACAAAGATGGTTCTAAAATATTCACATTGACCAACAAGCAACAGCATGAACGTGAAGTGGTCAGAACACAGCCACACAACGCGGGGAACTCACATTGAAAGCTTTCAGCCTCTCTGCTTCCACACCATCCGTCTCGTTCACCTTCTCAGAATCCTCGTGTTCATCATGCTCATCTTCATCTTCATCTCCCCTGTTGAGTGACAGATCCTCGGCACCTCGATCAACACTCTCGTTTTTGCCAGAGTCATAGCTGGAGTAGCTGTGTGCCGGAGACTGAAAAGAAAGGGGGACATTGCTCCTTTTTAGTCCTCTGTGTGAACCATCATTTTTAGGCTTTACTTTTCATCCTACTGTTTTTAAAATTTTCTTTTTCAAAAATCATGTTTATTACTTGGTAACTCTGGATCTGTGGCACTGTAAATTTTTAATAAATGTTAATTCAAATAAATTTAAGAATTCATTTCCTCCACCACACTAGTAACATTTCAAGAGCGTCTATAGTTGTACTGAACAGTTCCATCTCTGCAGAAAAGTTTTATTGAACTTAGCACTCCAAGAGTAATTACTGTTTCTATTCAATATTTATATTAATAAAAGGAGCAATCTGTGATTAATTGACAATGGAAATATTGAGTCATACTGTTGGAAGTAGATATGACTTCAGTGCATAACCCGTCTGGCTGTATTAATTTTCTTTGAACAAACTGGAAACTGAAGAATAAGATATTTAATTAATTTGCCCAGCAAAGACTATAAAAATTTTACTGAGTATAGTAGTATTAATTACATGATACTTTAATGTAGATTTCTAAGTTATCTATAAGAGCATCTTAAAATAGCATCTGATTTGCATATAGTAAAAATGCGTGAAGCTTTTTCCTGATACATTTATTGTTACCTTAGTCCGTATTAAGGACAGGATAAATTTAAAGCAAGATGATTAACTGGATGCACTACATATTTCAACATAAATAATTTAAAATCTGAAAAATTAAATATTTAAAATTCATTCTCACTGTTAACGATCGATGACCGCTGTAGAGGACTATTTGATGTTTAGAGTGCATATGTACCCATATGTAAATGAGACCATTCTAAATCTACATCAGGTAAACTAATTTAGGTTATTTGTAATTTGAAGATACTTAATTTATATTTATATAATCACATATTTTTTCTTTGTATCTACTAATTTGAGAATTAGTATGGGGGAACTGGCCAGAGTGAAAATCTATGTTTATGTGTGATAAGGAGCTTAATTAGACATTAAATAGATCTACAGAATATTATGTTATACGGCCCCACTAACACCAGCAGTTACCAAAGGTTACTGAGTTACTAAACAAAGAGGAAAGAGAATTTAAGGATGACTATTTTGTACTTGTTTTTATTATTGACAGAAAGATTTTCAGAGATATCATGAAACAGTGAAAATTTTAAATGCATGACAAAGAGAAGAAATTAGTGTTTATAACAGTCTACTGGCTGCCTTTGTGTTTACAGCTGTTTCCCAATAAGGCCCTTTCTCGTATCTGTTTCCTCAGACAAAGAAACAGCTTCCAAAAAACCAGACAAACTTCTCTCATCAAGACAATGGTGAACTCAGCTCTGCTGGAAACAAAAAGCTACTGAATGGGTTTATACCTCAACAAACATTCTCTCCTCTCTCTGAAGGAATAACAAAAAATACTTCTATTTTATGCATCGTAATGTTAATATTAAAATAAAACAACAAAAATCTGAGCTCATTCAGAAATCGCTTCGCCTAAAGAAACGGCCCTATTATTTCTACTTCCTTCTACAATAGGAGTCTGCGATTTAGAAATGTTTATTAAGAAGTATTATTACTCGCTCTAGAACTTCCACATATTGGGTATTTGAGGTATTAAATAATTTATTATCACTGCATCTACTTCTTTGTTTCAGTTGAATAGAGAAAAGAGGCAGCATTATCACCACTCAAAAACAGCTATGTTTTTGTTTATGTTTTATTCCTCAGACACTGGTGTTGAGGGTAATTGTAACAAGTCTATTTTTCAACTTTTGGATGATCATATTTTGGAGTGCAATACATTTTAAGAATAAAATTCATTCAAGAGAACAAACAATTAATGAACAACTTTTTAAAATATCATGAGGGTAATAGAAAAAAAAAAACAATTTTTGTTTCAGTTGCCCAAATACCAATGAGAATAACTTCTTCCCTAAGTAAACCTTTGCAAAGCATCTGTTTAACAATAATGAGCTTTGATTTTTGTCTCAGGCATCACTCTAAGACTTATACATAACTTAAATGAAGCCTGAGTGTTCTAATTAACCAGATTTCTCAATGTTTATAAATAGCAAATAAAGTCAAGATTTGAATCCAAACAGTAGCTCTGTGAACTGATTATCTTAACTATGATTTTTTCCCCCTGTGACTATGAAATGTCCACTTACTGCTCCAGTTTGGGAGGAATAAAGTCATGAGGCACTGTACTTCTCAATGCCAACTTCTAAAGAAAATACCTTTTGGATATGATAGGAAGCCGACTCCATCTTTTACTATCTGATTATAGATTTGATTTAAGGTAGAATAGTGAACATATCCTCAGAAAGCCTGAAACACAGTATATGATATGTGCTCTGTGTAGATTAAAGGTGTTTAATGCTGTATGTTCTCACGTTTCCTGGGACTTCACATGCAGCTCTAGTTTCTGTATCACTGAATTGCACAGGAGAACTATCATTAATGTATTTATGCATGGATTTAGAAATGGCTTAACTGGGACTCAAAAAAAGTTTTGGCAGGTGATGGTTCCTGTTTCCAGGCCTCACATGTTGGAAGTATAAAGCAAGCCCTTTCAAGTTGTCTTTTGACCTTCATATGCATACAGTGACATACATATGCATACACACATACACATACATTCACATACATACACATAGGAACACACATAAGAAAGATAAATAAAAATTTTTAAAATCAAATCTATAAAAATGACTGAATACAAAAGGGTGGTAATAAGAATAGCAGAGATAATCTCTGACATGAACTCGGTTTCCTGCTCCTTGATCACTTCATCTTTGTAGGGCGACCTTGCCAGCCCACAGAAGAAGAGGATCTAGGCAGTCTTGATGGGATCTGATAGGCCAGGGTCAGACAAATAGGGGAGGAGGACCTCCACTATCAGTGGACTAGGGGAGAGGGATAGGATGGGAAAAAAGAGGGAGGGTGAGACCAGGAGGAGATGAGGGAGAGGGCTACAACAGGGATTCAAAGGGAATAAATTGTAAATACTACTACTAGTAGTAATAATAATAATAATAAAATGATGAAAAGAATACTCTGTAAGTCCAATATATCTGAAGGTTAATTTCATGTGTCAAGTGAGTAATGAAATAGTTGAATATTTGATTAAACATAAGGCACAAGTATGTCTGCATAGAAGTTTATGTATGAGAATAGTATTTGAATTGGTGTGCTCAGCAAAGTGGATTTTCCTCCCCAGAGAAGAGGAGCTTCATCCAGTAAGTTAGGGGACACAATGGACAAACAGGAAGAGAAATAAGGAAAATCCTACCCACTGCATTGACAGTTTGCGTGGAGGCAAAGTGAGACTCACTCTAATCTTTAATCACACTTAACACTACAGATGGCTTTCCTAGTTGTTTGGCTTTCAGATGAAGGGATATGGAACCTCTTGGTTCCCATAATTCCCTGACTCATGTATTTGTCTGTCACCCTCCCTCTCTCACTCTCTCATATCTATCTATCTATCTATCTATCTATCTATCTATCTATCTATCTAT